GCATCTCCCCCAAGCACAGCCGTCTGGGCCGCACGTGCCCGTTCACACACGTGTATCCAAACAGAGCGGAAAAATGAGCCGGGCGGCAGGCGGAGAGCGGGGGCAGAGCCGGGAAGGTGCACGCGGAGGGTTCGTGAGCTGCCCGGAGGCGACGCGCGGGGAGATAAGGGCAGGTTTCTCGTTAATGAGCAAACAGGATCCGCCTGACGAGACGACCTCTGCCCGGGCGCGCTCCTCGGAGCCGCCACGCTGTCACCGCGGCCCCCTCGAGCCGAGGTTTCCCACGCAATCCCACCGGGAAACCCACCGCGCGGCCGGGAAGCGCCAGGGCCGTGGGCGGGAGCCCCCCAACACGACCACCCACCCTGGGGTCCCCCAGCTCCAGGGCAGAGCCCAGAGGAGACCCCATGGGGCAGTAGGGTCGCTATGGGGCAGAGGGAACCCCTCCAGGGCAGGGAGACCCCATGGGGCTGGGCCTCTCTATGGGACAGGGAGTCAGTATAGGGTGGGGGCTCTCTATGGGGCACGGGCTCTCTATGAGGCAGGGAGGCCGTATGGTGCAGTCGGTTCTCTATAGGGCAGGGTCTCTCTATGGGGCAGGGGTGTCCCTATAGGGCAGAGGGGTCCGTGTGGGGCGGAGGCTCTCTATGAGGCAGGGAGCTTCTATGGGGGAGGGTCTATGTACAGGGCAGGGAGCCCCTATGGGGCAGGGTTTTTCTATAGGACAGGGTCTTTCTATAGGGCAGGGAGTCCCCAGGGGCCGGGTCTCTATATAGAGGAGGGTCTTTCTATAGGGCAGGGAGTCCCTATGGGGCAGGGTCTCTATATAGGGGAGAGTCTCTCTATAGGGCAGGGTCCCTCTATGGGACGAGGAGCCCCCATAGGGCAGGGTCTCTCCCTAGGGCAGGGTCTCTCCCTAGGGCAGGGTCTCCGCAGGGGGCAGCCCTCTCTCTGGGGCAGGGTCTCTCTAGGGCAGGGTCTCTGTGGGGCAGGGTCTCTGTGGGGCAGGGTCTCTCTCTGGGGCAGGGTCTCT